CATTTTTCTTGGAAATGTGGTATTATAAGTTGAACTAAATTCAGAAATTTTAAATCTTTAAAAAAATGCTTGAAACTATTGTTTGAAGCAAGGTACAATTCACCTATGATGAATGCTATCACTATGTATATATAAAATGTACCAATAAAAAAATTCAAGGAAAAAAATTTCATTCCTGCCCTTACATTATTGGTAATGTTATTGTTTGCTCCTGACTGATGCAACAGGACTCTTCCCTGGGCACTCATGAGTGAGCACAGTTTTCAACTTGGCATAACTCAAACCTCAGACTTTGAAAGTGTTAAAGCAACGAAGTTGCACAGATGGCTGATATCAATTGCTGTGGCCACTTTATTGCTTGTAAGGTGATTATTTCACTTTGCCTATAGTGACTTTTCTTTTCTGTATTTGGTGCGGGGTCTCACTATGCAGCTCAGACTCATGGTGAGCCTCCTGTTTTCAGCATTCCCAGTACTGGGATTACAGGTGTGCACTACCAGGCCTGGACTCCCGTTGCTGGCTCAGTGTGCTCTGGGGGCAGGGCTGGCGCAGCACGTAGGACTCGGGATAGAACGCTGGCCCCTGCACTTGCCAAAGCAGGTGCTTAGTCCTCTGAGCTATTGAGTTTTCAATTTGATTAAGATTTACTTTCATCAAGTGATGGTTGAGTCCTTAACATATACAAATATATAAAGCAATGGGAGAAGTCTGCATTCAAACATTTTTATAACCACTTTCAACTTTTTAACTATCCATTCCAGCACTTTTTTGGTCCTTATCCTATAACTCAAATTTCCATACTCTTTGCCAAAGTAATTTTTATTTAGTGCACATTCCAACCTCTTCTCTGTAAGGGTGTGGTTTTTTGTCTGCCAACCAGCTGCACACTGGTCTTGCTGCAGAGCATTTTCTGCATCTCAGATGAGCTCCTGTGTGATTTGCGGATCAAACTCTGATGGTGGTAGAGTGGAGAAGATGCACTGATTCATTTGTGATTATCTTCCAAGTGATGGCAACCTGAAGAGTGGGCATGGAATTGTTATTTTAGACAAGAAGGGAAGTCATATTCAACTTTGCTACTGCCTTGGCAGCAGGAACCCTTTCAACTTTATTTTAAGAAAAATTCAAAGTGAGCATATGCACCTAGAATTCCTTGCCACTGCTTTGTATGGCTCTCGCTTGGGTCATGGCAGGTTGCCCTGCCTCCCTTGTCCCCCTACAGAGTAGTGTCCCTGGTGCAGAGAGCTGCCGCTACCTGCAGGTTGCTTTGGCTCCTATCAGTGAATGAAAGTTACGTGAGTGTTTCATTTTATGATAGTATATTTGGAATGTCTGTGATGGCAGCTCTGCAGGCTGCCTGCCTCATAGGGGGCCACTTTGTCTCCCAGTGGGAACCAGTTGTCAGTTCTCTTCCAATTGTTTGCTTCTCCAGCCCTCTCCTTCCTTTTTCAGAACCTGAGATTTTTCAGAAATACATTCGGTTAATCTTCACATGTGGACTCTGTAATTGCAAATTTGCTCCTTTTTGAGCAAACTCATTTTGTTACCTCCTGTGTTAGTGCTGTGGTTTGTGTCTGGAAGATCCCATGAAGCCTCATGCAAGAAGAGGTGGAGCTTTGGAGAGGTGAAACAAGGACGAAGGTGCTATATTCATCCACAGACTAGTTTGATGAGTTTATAGCTGGCTGTTTGGAAGAAGTAGGTAATTGGAGCATGACCTGGAAGGGTTTATTTGTATTCCTGGCTTCTCACTGTGTGCTTCCTGTCCATCACGACGTGAGCAGATTTGCCTCTGCCATGCCCTTCTGCCATGCTGTCCTGCCTTAGAGCAAGCTGACTGTGGACTGAAACATGAGCCAAAGTGAACTTCTCCTCCCTTAAGTTGCAGACATCTTTGTTCTAGAAATGAGGAAAGTGATTAAGACATGTTCTTCAGCTTTCTGTGACCATAACAATACCTGAGGCAATCAATTTAAAAAGAGAGGGGGCTGGGCGGATAGCTCAGTAGAATAAGCGCTTGCCTGGCAAGTGCAGGGTCCTGAGTTCAATCCTGGTACCTCAAAAAATTTTAAAAAAGACAACAGGTTTATTTTGGTTCACAGTCTTGGAGGTTCAGTCTGCAATCAGTTGACCCCTTTGCATTGAGCCTGTGGCAGGGCAGCTTGTCATGGCAGGAACACCTGGGGGAACAAAGTCACTCACCTCATGGTGAGAACTCAGCAAAGGACGAGGGTCGGGCCCCACAATCACCCCTGGGGCATACCGCCAATAAGCTGAGGGCCTCCCTTTAGTCTCCACTTCTTGAAGTTTACGTCACCTCTCCGCAGTGCCACCTTGGGTCTTTAGGGGCTATTACAGATCCAACTTCTAGCAACCCAGAATCAGTACTCACAGTACTGATCTTGAGATCATTCACAAACATGCACGCGCAGCGTGACAAAAATTGAGTTGTGAGAAGAGCTGAGGTTGCAGAGGGTGACATTCTGCCTGTGTTTCCACCATCAATACTGACAGCAAGTGCTTTTTGTTGGTTTTTTTAGTGCTGCAGTTTTTTCCTTGCCTTTTTGTGCTTTTTTATTGGTGATTTTGCTGTTTAAAGTGGATCTGAAATACAGTGCTCTCTAGCGTTAAGTGTGAGAAGATTGTGATGTTCCTTGTAGACAAAATAAAGCATCAGAGAAACTTTGTTTAGGGGTAATAGTGCCATCGACTGTGAGTTCAATGTTAATGAACCAGCAGTATATGCTAAATAAGGAGCCTTTAAGCAGAGGCCCACATAAAACAAGGTTATGTATTAACCAACTGACAAAATTGTGACCACAGGCTCACAGGAATTTAAACCTGAATAATTTTAGGGTTAGTGGCTCAGTATTTTCTTTCTTCTTTTTTATAGTGTTCAGATTGTACCCAGTGCCTTGTGCATGCTGGGTAGACACTACCACTCAATCCCATCCCCAACGCTCTGTATTTTCTGAGACTCGCTAAGTCACTCAGGCTGGCCTCAGTTGCTCTTGCTTCAGCCTCCTGAGTAGCTGGGATTACACCATACTTAGCTATCGGTATTTTCTGGTTCAGTGTTTGAGACGGGCATGGTGGCACAGTCCTGTAATCCTAGCACTCTAGGAGGCTGAGGCAGGAGTATTGGAAGTTCAAGCCCAACCTGTGCAACTCAGCAACTTAGGGAGATCTTATCTCAAGAAGGGGCAGTGGGAGGGGCTTAGGAATGTAGTTCAGTCTTAAAGCTTTGGATTTAATCCGCTAGTACTGTAAAAAAAGGAGACATAACTGATGATGGGATATGAGAGCTTGCTGTACATATATTATGTTGTGATAGAGATGCTTATGCTGAGATAATTTTTCTTATACAAGAAAATAGAATTCATGATTTATTCCCTACTTCAGTTTTAAACCCTTGTTTTTATCCCTCCAGGTGTAAGTAGCATGGTCCATGCAGGAGTGATGAGCGGCTCTGGGAACCTGATGGATTTCCTTGACGAGCCATTCCCTGATGTGGGGACTTACGAGGACTTCCATACCATTGACTGGCTGAGGGAGAAGTCACGGGACACTGACAGACACAGAAAGGTAGGTGGTGCTCGAAGACCTCACTGCAGGGCCATCGACGAATGACATGCACTGTGCATGAATGGCCAAGTTCTGGACGGGGGTGGAGGTGCCCATGGCATGGGTTAGTTACACTCAGGAGAGAAGGATGAGTGAGAAAGGCAGAGATAGGGACAGAGAATTTGGTAGCAGGCACTCTGGCTGAGAGGTTGAGTTGTACTGAGGGAATGTACCTTAGAGGTAAGAGGGGACACTGGACCCAGGTAAGTCTGGGGCACTTCCTGCCCCTGACACATTCAGGCTGGGTGTCTTTGAGGCTGCCATTTCTAGGCCCTGTGTTCTCATCCACAAAGATGGAGTTAATTATACTTGAAGACTGACTGAAATTGTGTGTGCATGAGGGCACGTTTGCATAGTGCTTGGCATGCACTTGGCATGGGGATGGACCACAGCAAAAGTGAGATGCGGTGCCATGGGGTCATTCAGGAGGGACAGCTAATGAAGACCCTTTCGTTCCAGTTGGGGTTTTATAGATGACTGGGCAGAGGGAGGGAGAAAGGAGTCTAAACAGGAGTATTTTTTTCTTAAGAATTATGAAACAACATGGTACATACGGGCAATTCAGAGAGCTGCCAGGGTGTACAGGAGGATTCATGAAAGGAAGGTATAAAGACAAGTTTGGAAAGGTGGGCCATGGAGCCATGATGGTAATGACCAAGCAGGCTATGGAGAAGAGTATATTTTGTGTTGAAGGCCACAGAATTGGATAAAGGTGAAGGGAGGAAGAGGAAGCTCAAACATTAGGTCAGGAGAAAGAAAGGGCCTATTGCGGACAGTGAAGTGCAGATGGTGGGGGACAGGGTGAAGAGCCGCTCTGAGCTTCCACTGGCAGGCTTCAGAAGAGGGCTGGAGCGCAGGAATGGTTGTATCAAGGAACACCACGCTGCGGCCTTTGCTGCTGAGGGCCAGAAGAGGAGCCATTGTGTGGCAGAGGGAGGCCAGTGCGTGTTGTTCCTCATGCTTTGAATTTGAGTTGCCGGCCTGGACTGCAGCCGGGCTGAGGCTCAGCAGGCAGAGGGAACTCTGCAGTTCAAGGATGAGGCTAGAGTGGTGACAGAGAATGAGAGGTCCCTGTGTGCAAGTGAGTGCTGAAGCTTTAGAAATGGTCAAGGTGGCCTGGGTAGAAGGATTAGGCATTCAGGACCCTGGGGTGGGATAGATGGGGAGCCACAGCCAGACGTTCAAAAAAGCTGTTCAAGTTGAAGGAGGGAACCAGCCAGCTGCGGACCAAGTGAAGAGGAGTGTTGGGGAGGGGGCTGCTCACTAGGTCACCTGCCATGAGAGGCAGAGTGTTGTGGTACCCCAACCATGTGGGGGTGTCAGTAGGCAAGCTGCTTCAGAGGAGGCTGAGAAATGACGCAGAGTGCCGCTGTCGTGTCGTTTCAAGAGGGCTGACATGAAAGGAGGAACAGAGATGCATAGGGCGCAAGGCCCAGTCTAGACGCTGCAGTCTCTTGGCACCAGCCTGGAGGAGCATGGCAGACAGAGGAGCCTTCACTCCAGGGCAGACACCAGCAGACCTGGCTCTCAGGCCCAAGCCAGCTGGTGCTTGGCTTTGCAGTACAGTCACTGGAACTCAGGCATGCCTATTCTCTGATGTATAGCTGCTCTTGTGCTACTGAGGCGGAGTTGCACAGATGGAATAGAAATTACTTGACTCACAAAGCTGAAAATGCTTCTTCTGTGGCCCTTTCCAGAAAGCGTTTGCTGATCACCTCTCTAAAGGGTCGTGAGGGAAAGTGGTGATCTTGGGATGCAGTATTGTGTCGACGCTGGAAGAGGGACTTTGTGACCATGGGCACAGACACTTCTGTTTGCTGTGGCAAACAGGAGCTATGTAGCTGATTTAAAGTTGTTGCATTACAATTAACCTTGAGAACAAAAGTAGCAGATAAAATCTATTGAATAGACATGTATGTATGTATGTATGTATGCACTTATTTATTTGAGACAGTGTTTCACTATATAGTGCAGGCTGGTCATGAATTCAGTGTGTAGCCCAGGCTACCCAGGGCAAACTCAGGGCAATCCTCCTGCATCAGCTTCCCGAGTGCTGGGAACACAGGCATGCGCCACCACTTAAATATGCTTATTAATGAATAGAGTTTATAATGTAAAATAAATTAGTAACTCACATTTAAACTGGTGATGTGGAATCAATATCTCCCTTCAGAATGGATTTTAAATAATCAAAGAGTAAATCATACTTAGTATTTTTTTTAATTAAGTAGAGTTTTGGTACTCTAGTTCTTTTGAGAATACTAACGTATTCCGGCATCTTTACAGCTCTGTGAACTTGAGAGCCCGTTTTATCATCGTGGCGCATTACTGCAAGAACCATGTAACTGGGGATTCACTTGCTTAATTATATTCATTTTCTCAATTGCTGTTTCCCAAGGAAACCATTTCAGGGAAAGAAGCACGACTTGGGAAATATGCTGATCAGCTGTGGTGTCTCTTTCTTTCTAGATAACCAGCAAAAGCAAGGAGTCCGTCTGGGAGTTCATCAAGAGTCTGCTGGATGCGTGGTCGGGATGGGTCGTCATGCTGCTTATTGGGCTGCTGGCAGGTAGGTGGCGGGGGATGCGGTACTCCCTCCCCAGCAAGGCCGGGGGCTGGGGCCCACGACAGCTGCTAGGGAGGGTGTTTGGAATATGAAGCGCTTATCTTTTACTAATCATGCAAGGGTTCATTGCTGGAAATTTGTGAGGGCAAAATGCACAGCCGTATATTTAGCCTAAAATCTGTCATCCAGCCTAAGGCCTGGGCTCCTGGCGAGCTGCAGGTACACTGCTGGGCAGCCCTTCCACATGGTAGGCGCCACAGTTCAGTACCACAGTGGATTTTCCTACAAACACATCTTGTACATTACCTTGTACTTGGTCCTGTAGAAGTCAACAAGGTACGCAAAAATTGGATCTTCAAAGAAAGGAAGCACCATATGAAGTTTCAGGAGTGCCGCTAACAACCCACCAAATGGATGGTGAACATTCTGTGGCCCTCAGAATAATGCTACGCACCCGCCCATGGGATCTAGGGTGGGCTCAGGGGAAATACCCCGGTTCCCTGTATTGTTCTCACTCTCAGAGCCTCTGTTTGCTTTTGTAATCCCAGTATCATGTTTGTGAGCACTCCATATTTCCAGAGTAAGTACATGACTATTTGGAGGAAAAACCTGTCTTTTAAAAAACAAAATGCATGCAGGGAATATAACTCAGCAGCACAGCGCCTGCCTGGCAAGTGTGAGGTTCTGAGTTCGATTCCTGGTACCAATAAAATAAAATAAAGTCAAAACAAAATGTACCAGCTCTTCTTGGAAATGGATTGCTGAAACTTACCTAAGGCAGACAGAACACTAATGGGACACAGATAAGATTTTGTGATTCCAGAGGATTTTGACCCGGAAGAGCTTTTATGTACTCCAAAGAGAACTGTGGAAGGGGCTTGGTTGCCAGGGAAGCACTTCCCCTGCCTGTGTGCCTCAGCAGTCCACGAAGAGCCCAGAGGCATGCCTGGGCAGGAGGGCAGCGCCAGCTCCTACGAGTGCAGTGGCTGGCTGTCCACAGCCAGAGTTCTGTCCACTCTGTCCTTCCTTCCTTGCTAGTGTTTTCCAGCATGGAATTGCAGCCGCAAGGGGGGAGGGGAATCACCCAGTAGAGGCCGGTGATATTTTGCATGACTGCTTCTATGAAGGTGACTCTGTGGGGCTTTGCTGTGAATTTTGATGTGTTTATGCAGAGGATGTATATGTCTCTCACAATGCATCCGTATTCTTGGCTTCCAGCAAGGAGCGATAAAAGAGGAGCAGACCATAAGGAAGCTACTAAGAGCTATGCTGGAGTCTTGGTGGACTGAACAGAACAGCTTAGATTTATTGACTCATCTAGGGGCCCTATTGGGCTAGCTTCAGTGCATCTGATTTTGACCAGCTGGTCTCACTTGGAGCCTAATTTCCATCCTTCCTTTCAGGAGGAATCATCTGGGGAATTTGCCATATTCTCTTGTCTAGGCTTCACTGAAACAGCATTGAGCAAAGCCCCCTTCCTTCCCCTCCATGGTTCAAAATTGCAGTCCAGGGTACGAATTACTCCTGGAGGTGGATTCCCTGGATACAGCAAATGAATACAGCAGGGCAAGAAATGGGAAGACACTGAAAACCAAGGTGGCTCATGTGTTCTTTTGATCTGGATGCACCTTGGATGGTCTAGCGGTGGAGAGGATCATGCCTAGCCAGTCCTCCCCTCAAGGGCCTCCTGAACATTTTATTTGTACCCTCTGATGGAGCTATCTAGCAGCGTTTTCACTGCAGTGTTTACCACGTGCCACCACTCGGTGGCGCTGTTGCACCACAGAACAAAGCTGAGGGCTGCCCAAAGGACAACGGCAGGGAAGACTAAATGTGGAATGTCATTAGGAATGAAAGAGAAGGATGGAATTTGGCTGATTGTTGAGTCTACCCCCCTGAATATCTGGGGGCCCCTCCATCACCTTCTTCAGGCCTTTGTTCAAAGGTTTTCCATTTGAACCTGTCTCTGGTCTCTAAAATCACATCCCCTCGTCTCTGAGCCTGTCCTCCTCCCCCTCTGTTTGCACTTAGGTATGTAACAGCTTTCTTGAGATGGATCATACACCGTGCAACTTGCCCACTGAAATGTACAGCCAGAGGTTTCCAGCGCATTCCTAAGAGTTGGGTCAGGATTGCTGCGATCACTTTTCCAACAATTTGATGGCCTCTAAAAGCGCCTTTGCACCTTTTGTTATCAAGAGACAGCCTCTCCTCCCTCCCAGCCCAAGCTTACCACAGAGCTGTTTTCTATTTCTGTTTCTATAGGTTTGCCTATTCTGGACATTGTATATAAATAGAATCATATACTATGTGGTCTTTGTGGTGTTTCACTCAGCAGAGTTTTTCAAGGTTCATCTATGTTGTAGCGCGTTAGCACTCCAATCTTTTTAATTGTCAAATACTATTCCATTGCATGGCAGGCCATGTCTTGTTTGTCCTTTGATCCACTGATGCATGATTGAGTTGTTTCCACTTTTGGGTGATTTTTATTTATTTATTTTTTATTTTAGGGATGGATCTACAGGGTGTTCAGGGTCTCACTACTAGATCGGACTCATAGTGATCCACCTGTTTACAGCCTCCCAAGAGCTGGGATTATAGGTGTGCACCACCATGCCCAGTCTCAATTGCTATCTCAGTATGCCCTGGGGGGCAGGGCCAGCAAGGCAGGACCCAGAATTGAACCCTGGCTCCTGCGCCTGCTTGTAGGTGCTTTAATCTGCTGAGCTATTTGGCCGGCCCTCTTTTGGGTGATTTTGAACAATGCTGTCCTGAATATTTGTATACAAATATTTTTATGGATGAATGTTTTCATTTTTCTTGGGCATAGAGGTATGCTGAGAGATGGTGGTCAAATAGTAATTCTGTGTTTAACTTTTAAAATTTATTTTTTATTTTATTTTAATTTTTTGGCTGGCTCAGCTCGTCCTGAGGGTGGGGATGGTGCAGAATGTGGTATTGGGCATCAAACTGCAGTCCCCTGTACCTGCCTGAGCTTGCACTTTAGACCAGTGAGCTATCTCAGAAGTGTGGGTTTTTTTGGCTGGCTCAGGACACCTTCAGGGCAGGTCTGGTAAGGCTTGAGGATCTAGGGATCGAGCCACAGCATCCTGATTGCTTTGTTTAAGCAATCACTTAAACAACTGAGCTAATGGGTCAGTGGGCTAGCTTGCTGGCCGTGTGTTAACTTTTTGGAGAACTGCTACGCTGTTTTCTGAATAGGTTACACCATTAGGGTCTTGTGTTTTGTCTCTAGCATGTATTGCCTCCTACTGGAGCCCCTGATTTATTTACTTAACTTTCTGAGCATCTGCTCCCCCTGCAAGGTACACTTCTATGAAGGCAAGCACTTGGGGCTACTTTGCTCTTGTCCGTGTCCACAGGGTGGAGACCAGTAACTAGCACATGGAAGTCGGTGCTCAGTAAGTAGCTCTTGAGCAAATGAAGAGATCTGAGTTTTCTGATTTTTCATTCGTTTGTATACTGGCATCATTTATTCAACATGGATATGTAGTTCTAACCATGTGCCCGACACAGATACAACACAGGCAGATTGGGCTAAGCCACTTGGAGTGGACATGGGTTCTGAACGCCTGGCCTCATCTCCAATGTGGTATGAAAAATGGTCAACAACCCCCCACTTATAAACTTTGAAAGTAAAAATACACACATGTGTGCATACACACGTATGTCTAGCTAGTCATGGTACTATCGTATGTATAGTATAGTATAGGTACAGTGCTGGGGGAAGGACAGGCAGCCACAGTGATCCTGGAAAGTCCACCCAACTCAGACCTAGGAAATCAGGGAAGCCCTCCTCAAAGAGAAGATAGAAATTCTGGACTCTGGAAGATAAGCGGGTGATTGCCCAGGGAAGGAAGGGAGGGCTCATCAATGGGTAGGGAAGGGACCTGTTATGTTCCAGGAACATGGAGTGGGGATGGCACAGAAAAAGGTACAGCTGGAGAGAAGAAGGGCCAGCTATCAGGGACAGAGACTTGAGGATTTAGGAGCTCTCCCAAGAATAGTGGGGTGTATGGAGGGGTTTAGCTCAGCAGTTGAATGCTTTTCTAGCAAGCTGGAAGACCAGTGTTCAGTCCTCGGCACCAAAACCAAAAAGTAAACCTCTCCCAAGAACAATGAGAAACTGTAGAATGGTTTTCTGTATATGGTGGTGACAGCAAGGACCACAGTGACATTTTTCAAAGCTTGTCTGATCACAGTATGCAGAAGCCATTGTATGGGGTCGGACTTGGGCAGGGAGACGAAGAGGAAGCTCTTGCAGCAGCCCAGCTCAAAAGGCTTCTACAACGGTGCTCAGAATGGCAGCAGGGGCCATGTGGAAGGAGCGGAGTGCAGCAACTGAAGAGAGACTCCCAACGCGGGTTGCGTGGTCATGGCGATGGCTCAGATGGGCAGGACTTCAATAGCCTCATGGGATGCTTGAGTCGTTGAATGGAGGCCTCTTTTTCTGGCTCGTCAAAGCTGAGGTGGGGAGGAAAATGCTTGAGACCAGCACTGGACACAGTGACTTGGACTAGAGTATCCAGTGACCCAAGAGGCAATTAGATTTGTGTCTTTTGACAGTTCTTGGCCATTGTGTTTGACTATCTGGGGTGCTATTAAAAGTGCTTGTGAGAGTGAGTCCAACAGAATAGTCATAGTTAATTAGTGGTGCCTGCCATGGGCACATCAAAAAGTGATGAAGGTAACTCTAAGAGTGTCACAATTGATGGGTGACATTTGCACTGGGCGTTGCGGGCTGGTAGCTGAGCTATGTACTTCTCCACAGCATTCTTTTTGTCCCTGATGTACATTTGCAGCTCAGTAGCAGACAGAAGGGCACAGGGTTGCCAAGGTTGAGAGCACAGTATCAAAAGAGGAAAGGGCTTAGGGTTAAGCTTTGAGGACATGCACGTTTTGCAGGTTGGATGATGGAGTGGGAAAGATTAGGAGAGACACAGGAAACTAGGAGAGTTTAATGGTGTGGAAGTCAAAGGAAGAGGTATTTCTAGGAGGAGGGTGACTAGAAGTGTCCAATGCTGTTGAGAGGCTTGAAGCCAGGGTCAGCAAAGCTTTCCTGGAAAAGGCCAGTTGAGTAAGTGTTTTCACCTTTATTGGTCCCACAGTTCTTGTCGCAGCCATTCAATGCTGCACTGTAGCATGAAAGTAGCTGTGGTCAGTGTGGAACTGAGTGGTAGAGCTGTGTTCTGATGAAATGTTCTCACAAGCAGGCATTGGGCCAGCTACGGCTGTGGGCTGTGGCGTGCAGATCCTTTTCAAGATGAGTACTAAGCACATGGGCCACTGCCCTTAGCTGCATGGGATTCTCCTGATGGGTGGTGGGGAAGTGAGCCTGAGAAGAGAAGGAAAGAGATAGGATGGTCGCTGGTGAGGGTGGGGGTGGGAGGGCATGCTTGGTTTTTTCTTTTAAATTTTATTCATGCTTAGTTTTTTTAATGCAGATGGGAAGGAGTCATGGGGTGAGAGAGAGAGAGAGAGAGAGAGAGAGAGAGAGAGAGAGAGAGAGAGAGAGATTGGGTGAAGGGGAATCGTAAGAACAAAAGAACAGAAGCCCCAAGGAGGAGCAGGAAGGAGATCTGGGCCAGAGGAGGGAAGGGCCCCTGAATCCAGCTGGACAGCCTCTGTCTGCAGAGGGACAAGAATGCTAACATGAATGCACTAGGGGCCGGGGAGATGGCTCAGTAGAATAAGCTCTTGCCGGGCAAGTGCAAGGGCCTGAGTTCAATCCCCAGTTCTGCCAAAAACAAAAACAAAACAAAAATGAATTCACTGGGGATAACACAGGCTGGGCAGTGTAAGACATGGCCAGCAGAAATTTAGCAAATTAAAATATCTAGGAACATACTCTCTGCCTTCATAGCTGGCTAGAATGGGTTGTATGGAAAGACACAAGATTCTTCCTGTGGCCCACTCAACTACACCTTCTATTTTATTTCAGTTCTAGTAGGCTTTACTTTTTTTTTTTTTTTACTTTTGTAGATACCTAAAGCTTATATGTGTAGTTTAAAAAGTCCAGAAAGTTCTAATGAAGAAGGATCCCCCCAAGTACAGTACCCATTTTGTGGCAAAGCTTTGCTCCTTTAGGATGTGAGACTGTCAGAGCATTACCCTATTTCCTTAAGAAATGTCACTGTGTGACCCCAGGCTTCTTCTCCAGCAGCCACGAAGGGTTCTGTTCTTCATGGTACATATTCCTATTTCAAACATCTGGGAAGGGATGAATGAACAAAGTCCCTCAGTCCCAGTGACGTGAGAGAAGAGTGTAACACGTTCATCTTTCTTGATTTAAGCCACTGAGACCTTCCTTCTCCCATCGGGCTGGACACTGCCTTGCCCATACCACCCGTGGCCAGACGACCTATGAGTGAGAGGCAGGAGCCTCCCATGACTGCGGCCCCTGGAGTGCTTGCAAACCCTGGTAACTGCTGTGCCGTGCACTCATTCTCCCTGCACTGAGCTCCTCTGAGGGCTTCGGTCTTTCTTGCAGGCACCTTGGCTGGTGTCATCGATCTTGCTGTCGACTGGATGACCGATCTGAAGGAGGGTGTCTGCCTGTCTGCCTTCTGGTATAGCCATGAGCAGTGCTGCTGGACATCCAACGAGACCACTTTTGAGGACAGGGACAAGTGTCCTCTGTGGCAGAAGTGGTCGGAACTGCTGGTGAATCAGTCAGAGGTGGGTGTCTTGTCTGCACAGGTCCTGGAGGGGCCTCCCCGCAGTGTGTAGTCCTAGAGTGCCCGTGCCGCCACCTTCCATGTCACCTGCCTGGCTTGACACTAGTGTGTCTGTTTGCTTCCAGCTCTGCTGCTGGCACGCACACTTCACTTGGAAAGGCCTTCCCTGCTCTTCGCATGCACAATTTGCATATGTCATTCTCAGAGGCCTGGTGGTTGGCTTTTTCTTATGAAAGCTGATTTCTTGATCATGCTGAAGAAATAGAGTTGTCATAATCCCTTCGAATTAAGGAGAAATATGTTATTTCTATGGTCCTTCCATTAAAGCATACAGCCTGACGATTTTCGTACATTCCCAGAGCTGTGTAGCTATGAGCACTGTCTGCCTCCAGCACATTTTCCTCCCCTCCCCCTGGCAAATGCCCAAGCCCATTCGCATTCACTTCCATGGCTTCCCCAGCTGCCAGCTGCAGGCAACCATTCATCTGCTGTTACCTATACATGTGCCCCTTCCAGATATTTCACATAAGTGCAATCATGCAACATGCGGACTTTGTGTCCCTTAGCGTATTTTCCAGTGCTTTCATGCCATTCATAGCACAAATCAGTACTCCCTTCCTTTTTTGTGGTTCTGTAATCTTCCCTTTGTATGGCTAGGCCACGTTTTATTTATCTGTCTCTCAGCTGATACACACACTTCTTGGCTATGAACGATGTTCCTCTTAACATCGGTGTACAAACATTTGTGGGCACATATTTTGTTTCATTTATGTGTAAGTAGGACTGTGAGATCAAATGGGAACTCTGCGTTTAACCTTCCTGGGAGCTGCCGAATGTTTTCTAAAGCAGGCCCAGCATTTTACATTCCCACCAGCAGTGCAGGAGGGTCTAATTTGCGTTCCTTCTTGCCAGCCTTCAGTAGTATCTGGTTTTGCTTATAGCTGTCCTAGTGAGAATGAAGGGGCAGCTCACTGGGCTTGCAGTCACTGTCTCCCACTGCACTGCTGATCGCATTCTTGCTCCTGGGCCTCCTATGAAGACAGTGTCTCCTCCTCCACAGGGAGTATAGTGGGGACCTAGAGCTCCAGTGCGTCCTTCAGGGCAATCAGAGCTTCAGATCTTTCTACAAGTCTTAGTTCAGGAAAGGGTGTGTTTTTATCTGAATTTAGTGGTTACCCAATGGCTGGGTCTTTGGTGGCTCAGAAAGCCAGGGGACCATGCTTCACATTAGGGGTGTTGGGAGGACTATTCACACTAGAACTGTGCTTGGAGGATCTGTATAATCTATTTATGTATCTCCTTCCTCCCCCACTTTTTTGTGACTGACTTATGACAGCTGAAGACATTTGGAATGCATCTCACCATTTTGCTAAACCTCTTTTTCGGTGGAATTGAAGATGGATTCCTTCACATGACAGAAGTAGACGGGAATCTTGAAATCTCACACATTCTCAGGGCTCTCCATTGCTTCCAAAAAGAAATTCTCCACGTGGGCTGATGGAGACGGGGATGCAGAATTGGCTGGACACCATATTTTATTTCTTCTCTCCTACTTGCAATATATGTTTAGGGGGAAATACAGTCATCCATCTTTTCAACTGTTTTAGGATTTATGCTTTGATTCAAAGCATTACTGTTCATAAGAGTGAGAAGTTATTTTTAGCCTCTAAAAAAGTACATATTTAACTGGGTAGAAGGTGTTCTGCAGCTCCATTTCTTAGCACATAGGGTGTGAATATATATGTGTTTGTAGCACTATCTCCCGGAAGGTGCTTTTGCATTTAATAGGCACACATGTGGCTTGGCCATGGCCTGGCCTGGAGGTCATCTCCCTTTCCTCTGTTGAGTAATCCAGATGGTGGGAAGACACTGAGGCCTAGAGGAATGAGGTCTTCTCTTAGGAGATTGGGTCCTTGGCCTGGAAGACTCCGGACTAGGCATTGGGTCTGGAAAGAAGCATTCTCCACAGAGCAGACAATTTGGAGTAAATGGCTCAGAGAAATTCCCAAGGAGATGATCAACCGTCCCCTTTGCTAGCGCCTTTGAAATGTTCATACGTGGCAGGATCTCCCAGAGGGCCTGTTGAAACACACAGCGCTGTGCCGCAGCCCACAGTGTCTGACTCGCAGGTCTGGGGTGTGGCTCACAGTGTCTGTTTCAACCAGGTGATGCTGCTGCTGCTGCTGGTGCACAGACCACACTCGAGTCGGGCTCTGGAGCACAGTTCCAGCGCCGCTTTGTTGGTTGTGAGGTTGCTTGCTGTGCTACGGGTGCGGCCCTAATGAAAGCGATGAGAGCCCAACCCACCGCAGACAAGACAAAACGAATCTGCCAGAGTCTCGGGGGCAGAGTTTTCTGCGTCATGTCCTTTATTAACTTTAGTACAAGTGGTGATTATGCCCGTGATCATTCAGGCTTTCCATTACTGCTCAGCTTCACCTGGTAGAAGTTTGATGTAAACAGCTCCTGGTGGAAAACCCAGTGCTGTTTGTATGCAGTGACTGTAGCAATAGCAACAGCTGATAAACCCACACTGGCCCTTTTATTTATGCAGCACAGGGACAAACCTGCACGATGCCATCAAAGCTTTGCTCTTATGGTGGAGGGTGGGGCTGGGTATGTTGTTTGGGTCTGCTGTGCTCAGGTTTTCTTGTTTTGTGTTTGTTCTTTAGGGTGCCAGCGCTTACATTCTGAATTACTTAATGTACATCCTGTGGGCGTTACTGTTTGCATTTTTGGCTGTCTCTCTGGTGCGTGTATTTGCACCATATGCCTGTGGCTCTGGTATCCCCGAGGTGAGTCGTAGCTGAATTTTTGTGTGTGCCAATAATAAGAAGAGCAAATACTTCTAAAGGATTGTTGTTCAAAGCCCCGTTCCAAGCATTTGGCATCTATTAATTCATCCTCTCAATGAGCCTGTGAGGTAAGCTGCTATTAGTCTTCATTTAATGGTTGAAGAAATGAAAGCAAAGACAGGTTAAGGAACTTGCCGAAGGTCACCACACTGGTAAGCTTCAAGTGGAAGCTGGCAGTCTGACTTCAGGATTAGTACGGTGTGTCCAAGATTTTCGCTCTGTTGCTTCTCAGATGATTAAGCCTCTGTCTTTGGAAACCAGGCTTAACTCTTAAAGCCTATGCAATCAGAGTTCCTTAACCACCCACATCAAGGTGGCACCGCAATAACTCTTGAGGTGCATCTGTGATGCAGTGTGAACAAGACAACAGTGGAGGATTGTTGCTGAGAAAGTTTACTGGTCACCGAGCTCCTTTGCCACATTTCTCAGGTAATAGTTATCTTTAACAGATTAATTCCACTTCTAGTGCATGCACTAAAGATGGATCCCTGTAAATTTCGAGTTTTTGTAAATAGGTGTACACTTTTTTTTGTTTGTTTGCTGAACCAGGGATTGAACTCAGGCCCTTGTGTTTGCCAGGGAAGCAGTTATTCTACTGAACCATCTCCCCAGCCTTTTTTTTGGGGGGGGGAGGGCGCTCAGGATGCCCTCACGGCACGTCTGGTTTGGCTTGAGGATGAGGGGATTGAACCACAGCATCCTGAGCCTGACTGCTTTGCTTTAGCAGGTACTTAAACACCTGAGCTAATGGGCAGGCCCCCAGTTTTTGTAAATAAGTTTCAGCACTTTCATGTAATCATCGTCTGAGGAAAGTGACCTTATTGCTCAAGAGGGATGCCTGAGACTGAATTTAAGCCTGGGAGAACCTACTGGCCCAATAATAATAATTGGGCTTATTTCGAAAAAGGCCCAAACAACACAGTTTAGCCAGACATCATGATAAAGACAGAGCTGTGGATTGATTTTGACAATGGATCTACACCCTTTTTGGTACCTTCCACTAGTCTAGGAAATTCATAGGAAGGGCTGAAGTAATTAGAAGATAGCCACAGGAAATATTCAACATGGTCTTATTTCAGGAAAGGTAGAAACAAATATGCCTTAGTATGTCATGCTGAATTTTCTTTTTATTTTTTTATTCATTTTATTGAGAAACAAATATCAATGAGACACTTTCCAAGCTGATTAATAGGGCATTTTCAATAATTAACACATTGCACATTGTTATCTTCTCAGCGGTCATCCACAGCACAAGAAGCAGGCAGGACATCCCATCCAAACACTACTACTACAAATCCTTCCTCTCACTGAACCAAGCAAAAGCAGCCCTACATCTATCCTAACTATTCTGTATATACAAATACAAAATTGTCCTTCCTCTGTACCCCCTTCTCCAGTTTGGTCCTGTTGAAGATGGGTATTCTATTGGCATCTAAATATTGTAGGTTATTAAGTCTTTTTTTTTTTTTTTTGTCTTTTTGCCGGAACCGGGGATTGAACTCAGGCCCTTGCGCTGGCCAGGGAAGCACTTATTCTACTGAGCCATCTCCCCGGCCCCTTCATGCTGAATTTTCCATGCTTTTTTTTTAACATGGTGCTTCAGGAATCCCCCAGACAAGCTACATCACCATCCTATTGCCTAAGTATAACCAGGCCTGCTATAATGGGACACATGCACTCTGAAAAATCACCATGCTAGGCAACATGGCGCAGTAAGACTCGCAGGGATAATGGGTGAAAGGGACTAGTGAGCACAATGTTCTGAAACTTCTCAGTGAAGCTGGGGGTGGTGGTGCCCACCTGTAATCGCAGCATTCAGGAGGCTGAGGCAGGAGGATCACCAGGGAATTTGAGGCCAGCCTGAGCTACATAGTAATCCAAAGCCAGTCTGAACTACACAGTGAGATCCTGTGTCATCAAACCAAGACATCCTCAGTGATACATGTAAAAAAGGAACCTACTAAACACAGTAGCACAGCTGTACACATGTTAAATTGGTAAAGCACATGTAAATACTACAATAAATACGACATCACTTTGAAAAAGCTTGATGTTTGCTTGTGGAAGTGGGTGTCGGAAGGGCTACAGCTTGTCAGTTACTGTGGAGATGAGAGAGGAGGGAGGAGATTGTCAGCTGTGGATGGGC